AAGTTTCCATTATTTCTGGAACAGTGCTCAGACTATTCTAACTGCTAGATCCTTCTTTACAGCTGCTCCTGAATATATATCTGAGTTTCTGGTACACTGTTGTTGTACTGTTGTACTGGACTGTGACGTATGCTAGAGCAGTGGAGATTATAGAGGTAAGAAAGTGGATGTTGCATGTTCCTGTGTCTGCATTCCAATGGCACAAACATCCTCAAAAATAAATTAAGCTAACATTCGAAGAGTAATATAGCTACCATAGACATCATACTAATACTGTCCTTTTTATCACAAGAACAATGTAGGCTGAAGGCAACTGATGAAAGATTGCATAAACTATTTGAAAAGAGCTGCCATTATCTTTCTCAAATTCCAGTATCTTGAAATGTATAACTTAATTTTAATATTTACCTATGAAAATATTTTAGAGAGATTTCCCCTGCTCTCTTCTATATGTTTAAGAAAGGATTTTCTAGAAGTACACTAGGTGGCTCTGTATGTCAGAGAGCTGCCTTTTTTCTGAATAGGAATATATATGCAATATTTGGAATGTGGTCAGAACATGTTTTTTTTTTTTTTTAAATATATATATACACTACCATCTGTAAAGGTGATTTTTGGTACTACTTTTGACTCCAGAAGCATAATTTCCCAGCTGATAATGGTCTTCTATCTGTTATTTCAATAAATCCATAAGCAAATGTATGTGCAAATCCCTGTGTGTTGAGAAGGAGAGACTTCTGCTTCAAAAGGAGTGGAAAAAGTCTGTTAGAAATGAGCTTCATGTTCCCATCTTAAATGTGTACTTAAATTCTTGGACATACATTTGGCTAGAGTTTGTGCTGTGTCTCATCTGATTATGTGCAAACAGCCAAAGATAGCGCACTGTTGCCGACTGTGTGCAAAGCAGCACCTGCATCTAAGTCATAAGTCTAGACAAAAATTTTGAAAAATTGCTGTCAGAGATTTGGCCGCTCCACTGGTCAGATTGCAGTTCACAGCTCTAGGACTCATTGAAAACCTTCTCTTTGTTAAAGAGACCATCTATTAAGAACATCTACATGGGTGGATTTGAATGACGGGAACATCAAGACTCTTTGGCCTTTCACACCAAAAATTTCTTTCCCTTTGGGTCTCAGTTTTTCCTGTATATGCATTCATGCCATAGTTACAGTGTTGAGATTTCCCTTAGCTGCAGTTTAACTGCAGAGGGGAGAGGGAACTTGCTCCTTCTGCCAGTCGAGTGGGGTGAATATCTAAGTTATGAGTGTGTGATTCTCATCAGAATAATACTCTTTTCCTTCAGAAGTGTAACCAAGTGTATACTTGTTGAAAACAAGTCATTAACTTCTTTTTCTGTAAGAACCATTGGGAACTTGTCCAGCTTCCTGGGAAAGACTGGTGGGGTTGTTATTTTTTTGGTTAACTGGGAGAGGTTTCCCACCTTTCTTACCACATTCAGCTAGCCTGTTCTGGCCTGCTTTAGAAACTTGGACTAGACTTGCTAGAGGCATTTATAAGCTACACAGACCTCGTCAGGTCTTGATGTAATTTCTGAGGTGAATCATCTTCGTCCATTCCTAATGTATGAATGGGTTTCTTTTCTTTTCAATTTAAATCAAAGAAACAAATATTAAGCCTTATAATTTGTTCATAGTGAATCAAACATATGGTAGGAGGACCAAATTTCTCTTCTGTTAAAAAAAGTAAAAATGGGTCTTACAATTTAATTACCATTCTAGTTATCTTTTTTTCACTTTCTTGAATTATTGAGCGTTTTAGGAACAACTCTGCTAGTAACAATGTGCAATTAATAACATTAATAAAACTTCTTCAACCCAAAAAGGACAGTGGTCTGCTTGAGTGAATGCAGAGGAGGGCCACCCAGGTTATTAGAGAGATGAAACACCTCTCCTACGAGGAAAGGCTACAAGAATTGGGATTGTTGGGATTGGAAAAGGGAAGACTTTGGGGTGACCTGATTGTGGCCTTTCAGTACTTGAAGACAGATGTTTTTACAAGAGCCTGTAGTGACAGGACAAGGGGGAATGGCTTCAAACTGAAAGAGAGGAGATTTAGGGCAGCTGTTAGGAAGAAATTCTTTACTGTGAGGGTGGTGAGGCACTGGAACAGGTTGCCCAGAGAAGCTGTAGATGCCCCATCCTTGGGAGTGTTTAAGGCCAGGTTGGATGAAGCTCTGAGCAACCTGGTCTATTCAAAGATGTCCCTGCCTATGGCAGGGGGGTCGGAACTAGATGATCTTTAAAGTATCTTCCAACCCTAGCCATTCTATGATTCTGTGATTCTATGAACATTGCACATCCTAGAAGATGTTAAAAAATGTAGATTTGGTTGGTGTCAGTAGAGGTAGGGCAGAATTTATGGAATCCAAACATGTATTGAAGATAGAGAATCTGTGTTTTACACAAATACATAGACTCAAACTTCTCCCCAAACTAATAGGTGCTGGACATGTTCCAGAGACATGTTCAGTTTTTGATAAAATTACTTTGAAGATAAATGGAAACTTTGCACTGCTCTGTAGTGATATCTGTTGCTGTATGAGGCTCTAAATTGGAGATAGACCTGATTGTTAAGGGCAAACAAAATAAAAGGAATTATTTAAGGTGTAGTCCGGAAAGGAAGTTTCTGGCTGTACTCAGACACTAAAATTAAATTCTGCTGCAGTACATAATCTTATTTTTGGCTTTGTAGGAAGTTGTATTCTTATTCTTTGGCCAAAATTTAACTCATAGAAATTTTTCTCACTGAAGTGATTTGTAATCCTTCTATAAAGGAAATTATTGTCCAAATGTGACATTTTGGTTATTTAAGTGATTGGAAAAAAGCGGGAAATACAATCTTTAATATTATTGTGTATTTACCTCCGATAGATTTAAAATGCAAACTGTTCTGTGAGCCAGTTTATAAGGCATGAAGTTACTTTTGTTTTGCTTGACCAAATGGCCAGTATGTTGCCAGCAGTATGTCTGGAATGTTATTTACTTGGTCTATTTCTGTAGTTTTTCTTTGTAGCACTGTACACATGCCACAGTTAGGGGTCATTTACTTACAATTAGCCAAAGTGATATCCTCAAAGTTGTGGTTATTCTTCTTATCATGGGCTTTATAATGAAAGATTTATCATGTTTTGCAGCTTTTGTGCTCAAACTTTGCCCCTCATCTCTCTCTATCTCTCTCCCCCTCTCTCCTCTTAATCAGAGTTACATCTGGCAAAGATTTGGAGAGATTATGTTTTTTCTTGGGGCTTTTTTGTTTGTTACTTGATTCCTCGATTTAGTGCCTTAATTTCTTTCATTGTTCCTTACAGTACTGACTGATTGAAATGTATTAACTTGCTTTGCTGGGCAGCTGTTATTTTTTTGTAAGGATATGGTTATTAAGTATGTTTTTCTATTTAAGTGTGTATCATATTTTATGGTCTCAGTTCCAGACATTCAGCTGCTTGCAAGAAAACTGTGGGTGTTTTAACATTTCCAACGGAAGGGTAGGGTGGGTGGGGAAACTCTTTGGAATGCTGACGAATAATATTTAACTCTTGGAAATGTCTTAAGGCCATGTGCTCCCATCCCATGTTTGGAAGGCTAGACTTAGCTTTAAAGATCTGTGGTCTTGGAGATATTACTATTGTGCCTTATTTCCTTCTAACTGACTGAAAGTGAAAAAGAGTTGATATCCAGATTATGACACTGTGGACTGGTGCAGAAATACTCTGCAGATGATTGTCTTGGTTTGTGCCCTTGCTGCTCCCATCTGTAGCACAGTGCTCCATTAGCTCCTTGCATGTTAGAGGGCTTCATTCTGCTACTTTTATTTCCTAGATGTACTTAGTTTCAAAAATTATATAACTTTTGAGATGTTAGTCTCAAATGTCTATAGCAGTAATGTCTATATGTTTAGCAGAAATTGCCTTACAGGAGAACATGACTTGGGAACTGCAGTGACATGCAATCCAGTGTGTTTTCAATAGCAGAGTGATAATTCATAACAGCTCCCCCTCCCCAATTTCTTCTTGCTGTACTTGAGTCCAAAGCAGAGTAGATACAGATAAGGTTGTTCGCCTCCTGGTTGTGAAAAGCATATATTTACTGAATATGGAGTCTCCTCACTTCTGTGGTTGTAGTAAAATATGTTCTCCTTTCTCTGCATTTGCAGAAATGATCAACTCTTCTGCTTAGCTTGTTTAAGTTTTAACAGGCACATGTGCTTTACTATACATAACCCTTGGTACTTTTGGATAGTGATTTGTTTATTAAATGTTTCTGCTTTATTTCTATCTTTGATCATTTAACTGATAAAAGCTTGTTGCCTATGTTCATACCTGCTCATCTTTTATTATTCTGGCTTATATATAAATGATTCTATTGAAATAAATCAGTCTTGTAATTTGAAAAATATAAAACGTTGGGTTTAAGTTACTTCTTACAGGTAATAGCTGTTTGATGGCTGAATACAATACAATTGCTCGGTGGAAATTTAGTTTGATACTCTGCCAACCAACAATAAAATATGACTTAATTCGTAAAAACGGCTGAGCTGTAAAGTATTAGTCATGACCTAGCATGCATATCGTAATAAGAGGCTCACAGGCTAATAAAGCCTACTTGAAGGGAGTCTACAAGAAAGATGGAGGAGGACTTTTTACAAGAGCATGTAGTGACAGGACAAGGGGGAATGGCTTCAAACTGAAAGAGAGGAGATTTAGGTCAGATGTTAGGAAGAAATTCTTCCCTGTGAGGGTGGTGAGCCACTGCAGCAGAGGAGTTTTTGATGCCCCATCCTGGGAAGTGTTCTAGGCCAGGCTGGATGAAGCTCTGAGCAAGCTGGTCTAGTGAAAGATGGCCCTGCTCATGGCAGGGAGTTTGAAACTAGATGATCTTTAAAGTCCCTTCCAATCTAGGCCATTCTGTGATTATTATGGCCATGCAATGCACAATATAACAGGTCAGTAATGTATTCTGTCATTCATTCCTCCTGTGCAGCCCACACATCATCTTCCTGTCACAGAGTGTACTACCAGGAGGGAGCCATCTCCGTGGAACACGTCTGTGCCATGAAATTGCTCATGCTTGGTTTGGACTAGCCATTGGTGCTCGTGATTGGACTGAAGAGTGGATAAGTGAAGGGTTTGCCACTTTTTTAGAAGACATATTTTGGGCTAGGGCACAACAGGTAAGGTGATGATATGTTGCTTCAAAATTGAATTCATGTGGAAATCACAATTATATACCTGCTGTGAATTAGATATAAATTAAAATTCCTTTGTTATGAAGTGAAGTATTTTTAAGGACTATTGGAATTTGCAGGCTAACTTAGTTTTAAAAAGAAAAGGGATCTATAATTAACACAAATCTTTACAGGGATAGAGGTCAGTGCAAATGGGAGTGGAAACATCTGTTTGTCAGTGATTACCTTCCCACAAATGTGCTAATTGGTTATTAAGATTCAGCTATCAAAAAATTTCTCTGCATTCTTTCCACTTTTACTGTTTTCCTGAACTGAAACAGAGTCGTGCTGCATATTGTAATATTCCAGGTACCTAATGAAAATTGCCTGGTTTTGTCCAGTCGATGGCCAAGAAGTGTACCTCAAAGCAAAATGGAAGCACTTATATTTTTTCTCTCATACTGCCCATCAAGAGTTACTCTGATGTCAGAGGCTTAGAAATCATTGCCGGCCTTAAGATGAAAAGCTCTTCAGTGGCATGTCAGCCAGTAAGGTGTCTCTCTGATGCAGGTCTTACTTTTGTGGCACCTCTGCCTTTTCAAGTATTTTGTGTGTCAGTAATTTCCTCCTGTGCCTGTGTTAGGTTCTACCCCTTAAATCTGCAGATCTCTATCTGTGGAAGAGCAGGCGGAACTGGGAACTGACATAATACCCTCTTCTGAACCTCCATTTTACTAAGTATCAGGCATATTTATAGCACCAAACAAAACAGAATTCCTTGTCATTTACCATATTTCTGGAACAAAAAAGAATGGAACACTGTCCAAACACTTGGCTTTTCCCTTTTGGTTCTGATTCTCATTTGTGCCCTTCCATTGCGCATCAGTACACTGCTGTGAGCTGTTCATGTTAATTCTATGCTTTTTTGAGTCACTTGAATGTATTTTCATTGTAGTAGACACCTTCCTTATACCTGAATGGAAAGGAGTAAGCAACAAAATGGAGTGATTAGTGCCCTTATTATTATATAAGCTCAGAAAATTTCTTTTTAACAATATTGAGTAGTTTCAATGCTGTGTAATCATACCATTTTAGGATTATGAGTATATTCCATAGTGCCCAACAGTAATTTCAGTTGTGACTGAATGTAGTGCAGGATAATATTATCTGCTTTTTCTTTCTTCCATCTCATATCTTTTCTTATAATAGAGAAACATAAAGTAGAAGTTATTTGTCAGCTGACAACCTGGCATTTATTTCATAAGTGTGAATCTCTGTTAATATTGCATCAATGGGGGAAAAGTACAGCAGGGAGCTTACATGAGCATGGCAGAAGTAGTAGGAAAGAGGAATGAAGTCAGGACACAAAGCTGCTCTTTACTTCCAAGCTGGAAAGAGAAAAGATAGAGCCAAACCCACTATGCCAGGTATCTGTACTGTAAATTCAGTTCATTTATTGCCAGTGACTAAAGAGAAAACAACATGCCCATCTCTCTCATCAGGCAGAACTATTTAAATGACTATTGATTTGATGTGCACAGTGAGGCTTTTGTTTTCCTTAGTGCTGCTATTAACTCTCATAGCAGCGACTGGTTTTTTGGTTTTTTTCTTAATCATGGATATTGGTACTGTTTCCTGCATCTTCTACACATTAAAGAGAAGCAAAACACACTTCTTGGTCTGAATATTATTACTGTCTATTAAGAAATGGCAGTGACATGTGTTTTTTTGTATACTAAGCAGCTATCACATGATGAAGTAAAAGGACAACAGGAATTGAAAGCTTTACTTCACTGGCGCCGACTCAGAGATGAGGTGCAGAACTCTGAAGAAGAGCTCCAAGTTTTAAGGTAACAATATGACAGCATCATCTTTGCTTTTGCACGTTCTCTCTCTTGTTTTCCACATTTTCTCTCTTCAGAAGATATACATCCAAATCATCTGATTAAATCCACTGCATTTCCTTATTTAATTCTAATGAAAAAAAAGAAAATTCAAATTAAATTGACTTGGTTATTCATCTTGTCTATAATGCAATTGTTTTTCCCTTTGTTGTAGAAAGCTTTCAGAAAGCATGGGAATTAGTTTGATATGAAATGTCTCTAAGCAGTTTACAAGAGCCTCTATTCAGGGGAAAAAAAGGCCATTTCCTGAACAAAGTTCACTGCTGGAAGCCGTAACAGATTCATTTTCTGTGGCTGAAGACAAGCACATACAGGAGTGTGGTATCTAACTGCCAAATGAATGAAGCTTTAAAAGACAAGGAAAAAGCATAAGGAACTATATGAATCTGATTTCTCTTTAGAAATTATTAATAATGATATTTAAAATAGATTTTGATCCTCAGGGACCAGATGATGTGCTCAAGTCTTCTTTGTAGATAGCTAAAGATGTTAGCTCAACAAAGATTCATGCTTTGCTAATGATTAATAATCTGGGCTGTTCTGATTGGTGTCTTGTGAATTTGCCACAGTCTTTGATCTTGAGTGTCTGCCTGCCTCAAGATCCACTGAGTCTCCACTGCTTGTCTCCTTACAGTCTTTGACCAAGAAAACCAAGTTTACTAATCCTAGCTCAAATTAGCCCAACACTGACCAAATCATGGAAGTACAGGGACAGATTTCAAGAGATTATGTAAACCATTCTCCTACCTTGAAGTACAGGCAATATACACAGACTGTCTTCAGCATGTTTTTACTAAGATGTTCTTAGAATGCTCCAATAAAAAAGTTTTCAAGTGGAAGTGAAGAGCAAATTGATACCCATCTTCTATGTAATCACCTCTTAAATGTTTCTTTTGGAGGACTGTTGCCGTTTCATTCATTTGAGGTCTTCCCTTCTTTTTGTGCTTTCGCAGTAGGATCTAAAACCCTTTCATATTTTGGCACTAGAGACTGGTCACCAACTCAGAAATTCCTCTCCATGGCCTCATATAATCTGAAAGCACATCACCAACTGTGTAACTGTTGCATTTCACTGATCTGTTTTACTTCATATTTATTGATGAATTGTGTATCCTGTGTGTAAGAAGAGTCAATGAAGTTACATGTGTAATTTGATGACAGGTGTGAATACAACACAACTACTGATTGACAGATGATGAGGGTTTTGTTTGTTTATAATATATTTTTAAAAAATATTATTTCTTGTGATATGAGGCTTATCTGGATGTGTGCTTTTCATTTTCATCACTGTGGAATCACATTTGTTGTTGTTCATGTTAATTATGTAGCTGTTACTTTTATTAAAATGTTATGTGTTTTAAATTTTTAAACTAATTTTTCTAAGGACCAAAATCCTTCATAGTCTGAAGTTCAGGAAGAACTGATTTCTGTTGAAATCGAAACTTTGGCTTTCAATTAACTTCCACAGTCCCTGGATGTAAGTCTCTGCAATAAACATTCTGTTTACCTTTTAGATAGTGGTATTCTCAATGCTAATACAAAAGAGTGACAAATCACTTCTCATTTGAAAAATATGCCTCTGATAAACACTTCAGGATAGGAACATGATGCCAGATTGTGATTCTGGCAATATCCTCTTCTCTCATGTTTCCTGTTGCTTGTGGTTGCATTTAAGGACTTTCTACTGGTTTCAGTCAGATACAAATATTTTCTACAATTTTTGTGGTGTGAACTTGAATAAGTTCTCTCTTTGCACATTTACTGGTCTTATTTTATTTTTTTTTCTTTTTTTCTTCCTTCTTATAGTATGTCCTTGTGCTTTCCAAAATTGGTATATAAGAGAGAAAATTTAAGTCCTGGCCATTGCACTGTGTTTTGTATTTGTACTAAGGTTTGGCCTAGTTCAAACTTGTGTTTTTATACAGGATATTAAAGTAAATGATAGCTGTTACTTTTTGCCAATCATGTCAGGAAGAAAAAAAATGAGCCAACCCACTTTTCCCGAGCATAAGCTTATTCTTCAATTACTTTTTTGTTCCCTGTTGGACAATCATATGATTTTCTGTGCTTTCTCCTGACAGCTGGAAAAATCTGCCCAAAACTTGTCAGCTGATCTACCATTAACTTCTGATCCAGCAAATGAATACTTGTTTAGACTAGATGAAAGCTATTCAGCAAACTGATCAACAGCCTGATGTTCTTATTATGGGTATTTGATATTATATTATAGTAGTATGTTATAAACCACGTATGAAGAAAAGAGGTCAGGTATGAAAGAAATGGGCAAATGTCTGTTTCAGCAGGCAGCAGCTCTGAAAGGCAGCACCAGAAAATCCTGGTATTGAAGAAGGAATTTGTGGCAGTGTTCATACAGGATAAGACTTGAGACAGAATACTGTGTATTTTCTCACAGAGTTTGAAACAAACCTGCAGGGATTAAAGCACCTGTGAAATATGTCTTGCACTTGTTCTGCTGGCAAGCACAAGCACTAGTACTCTCATCCAGTCTCTCATGTTCAGAAAGTAAAGACTAGAGAAGCCCATTCCATTCTGTGGTGTTGAGGTTTGTTTCGTATTTTGGCCCTTAAAACTGAACTTCAGCTTGTGATTATTGATTAAACCAATGTTGATATCTAACTTTAAATTAGTCTCTGAGTTTTCTTTGTGTTAAGTCCATTTCTGTCCTGAACCAGTGTTCTCTGACTGCTCTGTAGGTGTTTAAAGAGTTTTATTCTGTCTGATAGAAAATGTGCCTTTCAGATGGTCTCTCATCATCTCTGCATAGATTTTCGTGACTACCTGGTGCAGCAGAGTATTTAATTAGTAGGGACATCCTGGTGAATTGTACTTTTACTTTGTAAAATGTACTCTGCTCAGCAAACAAAAAGCAGCATCTTTCACTTCTTTCAGCAATTTACCAGTATCTCCAATGTGCCAGGTAGCAGCTTAAATACTTCGAAGCAGCTTGCCTTTAGCATCATGTAGTAGGTTAGATGGCAGGTTTTGTGGGTCAGTGTAACAAACTTTCAGTCTCTGTACTTTCAATGACTTGCAAATTCGGTAAGCATTGCTTTATAATAGTGTGCTGAAGTCCTGACATGACAGAACAGGGTAACTTTCTGAACAGTTGCACTCTTTTACAGACATTAGCAGGAGTCTATATACAGTCTTTGCAGAAGGATGTATATGTTTTCTGTATGGAGTTCTTCAGTACTGTCATCCAGATGTGATACTCTTTTCTAGTCAGCTCTGAGGATCTACACAGGCATAAACTTAGAGGAGGAAGGAACTATGGTTGCCTAATTTAGAATAATTGTAATTATGGGAGATATTTCAGTTAGTGTAGATTCTGTAGCCTGTGCTCAAACTCCATTTTTCAAAGTCAATAGACTGGGCTATTTGTCATGAGAGAAATGAAACCACTTTGGCTTTTTATGTATGCAGAGAACAAAGAAAAGTCACATATGGGATGTCAGCAGGCCTTCCTTCCAGGAGACTGATCCAGAATGGAAATAGCTGGATTTCTGCTCTCCTACAGTGGCTCTACAATGTTTGCATAGTGTAAAAGAACTGGAGTTACCATAGGATAAGAAATCAGTTACTGATCTCCTTTCAATGTTGACAGAAGACCTTACTAGAAAGAAAACACGAACTATGGCATGGAAGAGGACTGTGTTAGGAACAGTGTAAAATTAAATCTGCTATCTTTTTCTATTTTATTTCAAATAATTGCAATTTATCAAACTACTGTGTGAAGTGTATTTCATGTGCACAGGCCCTAATTGTAGTGCCTAAAGGGTTAAAAGAAACAGTTTAGCACTGTGGAGAAAACTCTAAAAAGAATCCGTTACACAGATATAAAAAAAAAAAAAAGAATGTTTTCCTCAAAGGAGAGACAGATATGGAAAGAATTTGATCACAGAAAAGTGTGCTGAGAAGTGCATGAGTGATGTGGTTTGCAGAATCCTGCATTCTGTAGAAATGAGGGAAAAGATGGTTTCCAAGACTGGCAGAGGTTGTTTCAGTCACAGGGTTAGGCTCCTAAGACAGGCATTTGTTCTCAGACTACTGTTATCTGGGATATTTCCCGAATGGAAGAAAAAAGCTACAGAGCTCTTCAGTACTATGCTTATGAAGGCACTTCTTACAAATGAAGAAAATATGTTTGCATAGGTTCTCTTTAGTTTCGCTCTGTGCACTTAAGAGCCCAAAAGTCCTCCATACTTTACTGCTGTAGATATGTGGCATACCAAATGCTGTATTACATTTTAAAATCAAGTGGTGAAGTAGCTTTGTTCTAGATGTTATTGTTTGTAAACCCCACACCTGTGTATGAAGGGCTTACTCTGTTAAAACTTCAACCAACTTTTCTTCCAACCCCAGAAGTCAAAATGAAAACCAGAACACATTCAGCACTGCTTTGCCTGCAGATGAAAGAGGTTATTCTTGCAAGTATAATAATATAAGCTGTTAAGCCAATGTCCAGATGTATGAAGAGAAATCTCTAGTTGAACATAATGACTTCACTATCTTTCCCTTCCCTGCCCCTCCCCTTCTCCTTAAAATGTCTTGTTTGTTTGTTTGCCTCTCTTTGTTGGTACTCTGTCTGCTCTGAAGAATGATCTGATGCCATTCTGACACTGATGGATTTCATTTGTACCCCAGCTGTCTGGTCAGCTATATAGAAAATTGTGTCAGAAGTGGGAAATTCATTTGTTTGACTGTCTAATTCAAGTTATATACTTAGGGTAAAGGAAAGGACTGAACTAGTCAGAGGTGTCTAAAGTTACTATGCCGTTCATGATGCTTCCTACTATCAGAACATGTAATGCACGAGTTATTTCTTTGCTTAGCCAAAACTTAATTAATGTGTTTCTATTTTAGGCCTAAAAAGGAGAAGACAGGAGAATTGAGTGAGTCTGGAGCATCCGTTGTCAAATATGGTCTTAAAGCAGAAAAAACCTTCATGCAGGTTCACTATTTGAAGGTGAGTGTTGCCAGCTGACTTTTATTGAAATTGCTTTATGATAAAGATTTCTGTCTTCTAGACATCAGCAAATTCATAACTTCCTATTTGTTTCTGCCTTATTTTCTTGCAGGGTTATTTTCTTCTGCGTTTTCTGGCAAAGAGAATGGGAGAGGCTTCATACCTTGCATCTTTACGAAAGTTTGTCCAAAAGTTTCATGGGCAGCTTGTCCTTTCTCAGGTACTATGCTTGAGGTTGTTCCTCAGCTTTTGAAAAGCAAATGACCCAAATTTTTGATTTGGCATCCAAATCATCACTTCTGGTTAGGGTGTAAAGAGAGAGGCAATTGTAATTTGGCAAACCAGGTGAAATTCCTACCTGCTAGAGGGCAGAACATTATTTTCATAGTGATACATAAATCAGACAACCTGCTAGTATCTGATAATATAAACAATGGGTGGTTTTTTTTTTAATGTGATGCTTTGAAAGGTCAATGATTATAGGTGCTGATGTTCTCAAAGATAGGGTCATTTACCATACTGGAATTGTCTCCTGTAATCTTTTAGCTCATGGGTTGTCATTGTGATCAGTCAGTCTTTTCCCCAATTCCCCTCTGCTTCTGAAAGGGAAGAAAAAACAGAGTAAGAACATAACTGAAAACTCTATAAACAGTAACAGGGCATGGATATTATATTTCTGACTTCATTTTCTTCTCTCTGCATGCTGCTTCATTCATTGGTTGAAATTTCACTGTCTTTCTTATGAGAACAATCTCTTTCTCACCAAGTCAGAGAGTGATGTCCTCATCACTCTGTGACATTGCGCCCACCTGTATTACAGTTTTGTCACGGTCTCTGTATAGGTTTCTTCATTATGGTCCATACTCCCATGCCTTCTAAAGCATTCTGTTACTGAAGTATTAATATCTTAGGGATGTTTAAAATGTATGTCTTTCTTTCAGTAAACTTTATCTGACAGAGACACCACGCAGTGGCAGCCCACTCTGGAGAGCAGTTGTTCTCACAGGACAGGATTTCTTCCTGAATTGATGAAGGCTTGGTTGTAAAAAGTAATGTTGAATTAAGAATCGGAATCTTCTCTAAGTCCAACTGCATATATTAATCACTTTAATTACAGACTTAGCTTGTTCTCTTCCTGTCATATATGGTGTGTAATTACTGCGTGCAAAGTACAACAGCTTCAAAAGGAAAGACTGAGCAAGTCACATAATAGAATCACTAAATATCCTGAGCTGGAAGGGACCTACAAGGAGCATCAAGTGAAACTCTGTACACAGGACAACCCTATGTGCCTGAGAGCATTGTCCAAATGATTCTTGAACTCTGGCAGGCTTGGTGCTGTGACCACTTCTCTAAGGAGCCTGTTCCAGTGACCAACCACCCTCTGGGTGAAGAACCTTTTCCTAATATCCTACCTAAACCTCCCCTGACACAGCTTCATGCCATTGTCTTGCTGGTCACCAGTGAGAAAAGACAAGTGCCTGCCCCTCTGCTTCCCCTTGTGAGGAAGTTGTTGTGGAGGACCAGACAAAAGCATATTCCGTCTCAAGCATTCTGACTGTGATGCCAAGTAAGATGTGATCGGAACAGAGTGTCCTGTGGAGGTGGGGCAGTGTGTTCTGAGCCAACTGCTGCTCTGAGCCAACTGCTTCACCTGGAGACTCCTGCTCAACACCCCACCTGACTCAATTCCTGGGGAAGGCTGAAAGGGCTGCTGTGCACACGTGTACAGAACCGTGTGAAAAATCTAGTTTGTGTAAGAGGCTGCACCAGGTTACCTATAAAAGGGAGTGGATCAGGCCCCCTTGCTCTCTCTTTTTTCAACTTTCTCTCTTTCCTCTCTTTCCTCTCTTTGTCTTTCACTCTCATGCTTTCCTCTAGCTTCAGAATAACCACGTAGCAGGATGAATGCAGGATCTAAGGACTGGTGATTTTCTGTGTTAGTTCTGTTCCTTTCCTGACTTTCTCTCTCTCTCCCCCCCTGTGCTTTGCTTGGGCAAATGCAGCTATCATACTGTACTTTCTTTCTCCTTACAGAAGTTTGTTGTGGGAGTGGGGAGATTGTGAAAAGTGGTATTGTGGCTTGTGAGCCAGAACCTTTAAGAGGTTTGTTGTGGGAATTAAGAAGTTACTGTACTGTACCATCTTGTATAAATTAAGGGCCTGTTATCCTTCACTCTTGTGGAAGCCTATTGTATAAATTTAAGAGCTTGTTTGCAAAGACCTTATGGGTCTAAATATTGGATTGGTTGCCAGAGCTATGGTGACTGTACAATAAAACCTGGAGTTCTCTGATGCATGGTCCTGTGCCTTTGTTCAGCCTGACAAGAATTGATAACGAACATCATACCCCATACAGGTGGGTTGTGACAGCTGCATACCACTATGAGGTCTCCCTTAAGTCTCCTCCAGGCTGAACAAACCAAGTGACCTCAGCTGCTTCTCCCCTCTATACCCTTCACCATCTTCCTGGCCCTCCTTTGGATGCTTTCTAATAGCTTTATTTTTGGGGGTCACACAGCAGTATATTGTACAATCTGTTACACAGGGAGCCCAAATGGGGTTATAAATATAAATTTACCTCCCCCTAGGTCTTTCTGGACCTGTAGCCACTGGCTCTAGTTTTGTTTTGATTTAGGAAATTACGTTACTCTCTGAACCCAAAGTTCTAGGAATCCTGTCATTGGTGATGAATCCAGCTTGCACCATAGCACTGCTGCTTCTTGTTTCCGTAATGCTGTGAAAGTGACTATTCAAGGTCTCTGAACCAGGTCACTGGACTCATCGTGGTTTAAAACAGGCCTGGAACAAAACTCACAACATGACAAATATTTAGTATTGCTAAAAGAACAGTGTGATCAGAGTGAGGGGCAAGGGAAGAGAGAAGAGAAGGGTTATGTGTGAATTTCTCAAATCGGTTTTTTTGCTGAAGTGTGTCTTTTTCTGGAGTTATGGCTGAAATCTTTGAGCATATTCAGAGTGGTGATAAATGTCTCCTTGCAACACTGAGTAGGGGCCTCTGATCTTGAGGAACTGGAGTCTAACTCTGCTGTTTCTTCCAGCCACAGTGATTCTTTGCTTGCATGCCTGCTGTCTTGAATCTTACGGGGTGAGATGCACGCCCATGTATATTACAACTAGCCTACAGTCCTGTGGATTCTTTTGTATGTCAAATTACCCAGAAGTTAGGTGTAGTAGCTCTAATGCAGCAGCTCTGCCCTGTGGAGAAACATTTACGGTGTTAAGGGAGTTAACACTGCTGCAGCTGTTTCCTGTGCCATGTTACTGAGACCCTGAGCAGTTATGTCTGGTATAGTGTGGAAAATGTGCATGACTATATAAGTATTGCTTACATTATGGTGTCCAAAATCATAAAAGTGATGCCTCACTATTACACAGCTGGAAAAATTTTGAAAATTGCAGAAATCACGGAACTGCTGAAAACAAGAAGCAGCCCAGTGTTTTAATCTGGTGGTAAGAAAGGTGGTCACATTTTAGTGAGGAAAAGTCAGCTTGTTGCTTCTGGTTGATGTGAGATGAGTTGTGTCAGTAGACTGTTTGAGTGCTGCAAAATGTCTCAGAAGATTATGCTATTAGTCGTGATAGCTAGATAGCACTACAGTTGAACTACCCATCCACTAGAGACTTCTTTGTCTAGCACTCTGCTATGAAAGGTCAGTTTGTATCTTACCTACTCTAGTCTCCTAAGATGAAATACTGTGCACCCAGAAACAGCCATTTTAGTTATTGGATGAAAAACTGTCCAGTGTTTCTAATTATTGAAGCAAAAGTAAGTTATGCTGTTGTTTCTTAGGCTTCTTATTTGAACATGTGCAGTATGTCCACAGCTATGTGTTTAATGCAGGTCAGAAAAAAATATCTTCAGAAAAGGTCTTCTTCAAAAGATGTTCAGAAAAGATCTTCACTTGAAGTTACTTAATATAGTGGAGAAGGACCATCATACTACTTAACTTTTATTGTGTGCTTTTGTGCCTTTACCTTGTTTTACAGCAGCCTAAATCCAGCTCCTGTTGAAGGTGTTGGGAAAAGAGTTTTAACATCATTCTGTTGTTTGGTCACTATGTTAAAAATCCAAAGGGGATAGGGCTATATCCAACTGTAAATGTGTTTACTTTCTTTGTAAGAAATCTTACAGATTTTATTTATATTGGTGTATAGTATAGGTAGATAAGAAATCACAGCAGGAGTTACAAGAGCAGAAGTAATGAAGTTAAGTTAGTACAAAGTTTCTTATTCGGGTTCCTTCTTGAGCAAACATGCTGTCCCTGTTTAAATGAATAAAAGATTTTAAATAGAGGTGCAAATGGTACATTTAAATATCATAGTGCTGTGTTTTCACCTTGTCCAAAATAATTGTAAAAGTTCCCAGCTCTAGGAATTGTGGGGATGAAGGAAAGTAAAAACTGTGACAAATTGCCCGTCTTATGAATACTAGTCTTGTTTTCAAGGGTGTTTGTAGTATTTTTCCTAGATGGGAGGTGCAGGTGCAAGGAAATTACTTCAGATGTGAAACATTAATCAGTTTGCCCTTTTCCTTCATTTTGATTGCATGCTCAGTGTATTTTTAATAGAGTTTTTGTTTATTTTAGTTGAGTTAGCAACACATGAGTAAAGCAAGTCTGAAGTCCTTGAGAAGGATATTTAACAAATACTCCATTTTTCTTTCTTTGAGAGGATTCACTTGCTAATTGCTTTGAATGAACTCTTAAAATAATGAGTGGAGTGTTACTGACTATAAATTAAAAAAAAAAAGAAGTGCAAGTTACTGATATTTCTAACACAGTTAAAGCTGTTGCTCAGTTTTGTATTGAAATAAGAGCACCTTGGGAATTGAATTGTTTGCAGACTTTAATTTCCATGTAGTTCTGTCTGTTATAATGGGCAACAAAGTTTGCTTTTGAATGAAGCTAGTCAGTAGCTCCATCACCTGGGGCTTAAAACTATCAGGGTGTCTGGCTAATGATTGCTGCCTGATAACAGAACATATAGTTGGGGAGTCTTGCGTGCTCTTGACAGGAAATTGTCATTTTGGAGGTGCATTCTGGGCTTATCACCAAAACCTCAAGAGAAAGATTTCGAAATGTTGTTGATTTTGTTAAATATAAGCCAGAAGGATGAATGGGGAGGGAATTCCAAATAAACAGGAACGTAGGAAAGGTTCTTATTATTTATTTTTGCACGCAGAAGGGACAAATTAACATTTACTATTTAGTTATGTCATTTACAAGTTGCATATTTGTAGGGATAGCTTAACTTTGAGTGGATAATTTCTGTAAGGAATCAGATGTAAGTCCAGTTGGAGTTTATTTGTTGCCAAATGAATGTCCATTTTGATGTTTCACTTTTAGTCATGAAATCTCCATTGCTTTTATGCACCTCGTTTATATTTCAGTCAGAGAATTTAAACAGAAGTACCTGTTGGTGGTAGAGTACTTGAAATATCTAGATTTGAGGTTTTCATGTGACTATATAATTTGTCTTTTAATATTGAGTGTTCTTTATTTGATACTAACATGTGTGATCAGAGAGAGGTACTTGCCTGATGCCCCAAAACAGTTCAAGAGTAGAAACTTGCTGGCCTTTGCTTAAGACAAAGATTGGAGTAACGATAAAGCAACTTTGGCATGAAAAGTGTTTTAAACCCAGATATATCTAGTTACTGCTTTAAGTAGCCTTCATTTCCTGTTGCTTCTTTCAACCTACTTCTCATTTTTTGGTTCCTTGCTTTTTTTTGCCTTTGACTCAAGCATGGTACATCCATTAACAGTGCAGAGAAAATTTCTCCTTTACCTCAGATTCACAGTCTGTATCCAGATTTGATCTGCCCAGCAGCAGCCCAGAGTTGCACTTGTGATTAAAATTGTTGGCTTCAGTCAGGACCATGGTGAGAACAGAAAACAGTCATTAGGGAATTTAATTAGGAGAGGCTAGCAAATCCTTAGCGGACATGTGTGGACTCATTTTTCAAAAGCTTTTTCAGTTTGGCCAAATGTCAATAAAATTTCACAAACTGAAGAGTAACAGTTTCTTTATATAGGGCAAAGTTGTTTTCTATCCCCTGGATCCTCAGCCAGGGAAGAACAACAGGAATATATAAGGAAGTGAGATTATTTACTCATATGAATATAAGTCAGTTTGTTAATATGGCAGCACTGAGGTGACATGTGATTTCTAACTTATATTTTCTTTCTGCTTTCATTGAATTACTTGCAACAAAGAACAAACTGTAATTTGTTTTATGATCTGACTCAGCATTTATTTATTATTACTCTGATCATCCATAAGTCTTTATTTCAAAGTGTAAGGTCTCTAGAATATCTTAAAGAAATGGCATTGAAGCTTTAAAACACTCACATTATCCCCTCATTTTTCTGTTGGAAAATTTTGAGCCACTTCATCTTGGGAAGAAGAAAGAAATTGCCTGAGGATAAGATTTCACTCCAGATGGTTAAAGTTAGGCAAAATTATAAGCAACTGTAAAGTCAGACCTATAATGAGATGTGTCATGCAGACTTGACAATGGTCAAATGTAAAAGCTATGCAAATATGAGATAAGTGGTAATTTGTTTTCCTACTCTGTTTTGGGGCATCAAAATAGAACCATTAAAATAAGACAGAATAGATTAATCTTAATTTTAAGAAAGTGTGTTGAATAATGGTTACTGCCATGTTCTTAATAGATGTTTGGAAAAATGAAGACAGCTTTAACAGAAAGGAGATGTTTAATCTCATAGCATAACATACAGAATATAAACCCACTTCTAATACCAGAGGTATCTTTAAGTGCACTGTGCAATTGAGTATTTAAAGTTGATACAATCCAATCAGAGAATCTAGCTGCATTAATGTATTCAGACACAATGCAAATAGTTTGAAGGATGACCACTTCAGTATTACTTTTCACACACTTTTGAAACAATGCTAGTCATGCTGTTATCATACTCTTTAATTGCATGTAAGCTTAGTCCCTACCTCTAGCAAAACTTGCACAAGTAGTTCTCTGTTTATGTACAGAATAATGGTACAGAACTGCAAACAGTAGTATGAAATAAGGGGATTTCACACTTTAGCATCATGCCAGCAATACTGGCAGTCACTGTCACAGTTAATGATGACATTCTTGCCACAGCAGCACTGAGCCCAGCATTATGTAATATGCTTTTTGTCATAAGCAAATTTTACAGCCACGGCAACATAACCTGAATATCACTTATAATGTAAAGGAGAAAGGCTTAACTGTGTCACCAGTTGTTTCAATTGTGCACTCACTCTTACCCTGATTCCCTAACAATCAGACAGAGAAGCAGCATCTTTTGTTGACTGCACCGGCAAAGTCCCTAAATAAAAGATTTCTGCCTTTTAGGAGACATTCTTCAAGACCTTAGAGAGCAATGACTTGCAATCAGAAATCAGTCTGCGTTTATATACTGCAGTGAGGAACATTATCAGCCTATGAAGCTTATCTCCACAAAGATCAGTATTAATAAAGTGAATGTATTGATTTATTGAAATAGCACATCAATAACTAATATGAATAAATCCTATTATTATGTGATTATTCAAAGGATTGTATTGTGGCAAAGTGTTTGTTATTAAAATTAGGTAATGTAGGTGCTAGAGAACCTTTGAGTGATGTTAAGAGGGCTTATCTTTCTTAAGAGGGCTTATCATGCTGGTGTAAGTGAGGATGATAGTAATGTTCTTCTATTGGCATTGCTCCATCTTTGTAAATCCATGAAGGAAATTCTAGATGCTTTTTCTTTGAAGAATTTGCTCCTTATTTGATGCGAGTATCAGCAACATTGTGAATTTTGTTATGGAATGAGGAGTAGGTGTGATCTTCTTATCAGATATGTGCATTAAGGAAAAGCCTTATATAGTTATTTAATTAAAGACAACATAAGCACAGTGAAGAGAGCATAAGCACCCGTAATTTTAATGTTTTTGGCTTTTGAATATGTGAATCTGCAGCCTTTAACAGTTTTAAATATAGTTTGTGTGTGTGTGTATTATAGATAAAATAAAAGTGGAAGTGTGGGATTGTGTTAAAATAGTCAGCAGGCTTTTCAAGCCCATTTTCTTTCAATGTTGACGCTTCTTGTTTGAGTGGGCTGGAAAACTGACAAACATAATGTATGTTGTATAAATAACTGAGTGATATATCACCATAGTGGATGGATAAACTTTTTTCTTATCATTCTGTTATCTGTGGTTTTTAAAAAAACATTGCTCACTAGCAATGCAGACACAGGGTTATGTCTTCATAAACATACTAACTGTGGTGCTTTGTTCTTTTTCCAGGATTTTCTTTGCATGCTGTTGGAAGACATGCCTAAACACAAAGAGTAAGTGAGAACTGGGCTAGAAAAGCCAAAGAAATATGTAGAAATCAGATTTAAACAGCAGCTGTCCTAGCCAGAAATAGTAGGATTGCATTTAGTATTGTTCTGCTTGTTTTTTTTACAAGTGTGTGATTCTCTGAAAATGCCTCTACATATAAACACAAAAAAACCATGAGACCTGCTGGGCTATCTGTTGAGCTATACCATGCTCTCCCCAAGCAGTGCCTTTAATTTGCATGTTAGGTCAGAAGTGGTGTCCTGTGTTCACTCTACAATCTGAAGTGCCAGGCACAGCTGCCTGTTCAAATTAACCTGTAATCCTCCTGCCAGCTGCTTTTGGCACATGGCACCTTAAAGCAAAGATGCCAGAACTTTGCCATGAATCTGAGAAACCAGAGAAGAAAGATTTTTTTCAACAAGTAGTCTGATACCATCCTCTCTCTGCTATACAGTGTGCCAAACAAGGAAAGATGGAACATACAAATGAAAAACCAGCATTAATTGCCTTACATATCCTTCAAAATCCTACATGTGATTCTAGGACTGGTTGAAGATGATATAGGCAGTATTTAGCAGCACTTTGAGTCTGTCCCTGCGTGTCTGTTGGTTTGTTTTGTATTATTACAGACTGTGCTACAAACGCAGATTCTTTTGTAGTGGAGCTTTATATAGCTTTATAGTTTTTAAAAAATATATTTACTTGAAAAATGTAATTTTGAAGACCAGACTAAGTAGTTTGGAAAAAAAAAAAGAAGAGAAGATATTCATAGAAGTCAAATGTATTGAGTTCCTTAGTGAAATACTTCTGTTCCTAATAGTCAAGGGGCAGAGAAGCTAGTTATCATTGAGAAAATGTGTTTTGTGGCGTCTTGTGTTTACCTGGTGTGGTGCTACATTTTCCAGTCATGTACTGTAGCATCTTATTTTGCTTATGTAATTAAATACAGTTTCCAGCCCAAATATAATCAGAACTATTAAATGGAATATATGTGTAAATAGATTACTTAATGGCATTACATTAATTTGTTAAAAAACCTCCAGTTTCCTTCCTTTTTTCACTTGTGTTCCTCTCAAGTCCAAACCCAGTGCAAAATGTTATTTGCACAAGCATCCAATTTTCTGCCTAGAAACCTGCCAATATATTTAAACTTTCAGTGGGGTTAATGCAAAAGAAGTATGGCTCCATTTGTGATGCATCACACTCCAGAATGTATGAACAAAATTTCAGATCTATGGTAATTTATTTTATAATCAGATACATAGCATATCTTAACCTATCTATTGCCAAAATTACCTTGGGTGCAGATATCAACAGCAGTGCCAAGAGTGGAGTATCTGGATATACAGAAGGTCTTTATTTCTTATCAGCTGCAAAGATGTTTTCTTCATTCTTGAGTGCTGTAATTACAGAATTCTTGAATGTTCTTAGTACAGAAATACTCACAAGAGGTAAAAGAAAAGGGAGGAAAGATAAAAGTGAAGTATTTATAGAGATTATCTCCTGATAAGTGCTTTTTTTGCACAAAGTTTGTTGTAGGAATGAAGTGCATTTCAGGATTAGAACAATAAAATTCTTCGTAGCACACAGAACCTCCCTGAATTGTGCATTTCCAGCAAGTAAAAATTAAGTGTTTAAATGCTTCAAACTTGAAAAATATTAAGTACTCTAATGCACTGGAGTTTGTAATGGAGGCTCATCTTAATCATTGAAAAGATAGAACAAAACAAAGAACTTTGTAGTAGGTAATCGAGCTAAATCCTGTCCTCAGCTGTGGCAACTTAACAGCAAATTAGTGCAGATAGCAGTATGATTTGGCTTATGGGAGACTTGTCATGAGAACAGGGGGAACATTGACAGAAAACAATCATGCAACAGTGTGGAAATTTGCTGTAATTATTATGCTGTAGTAACGTAACATTAAATTTGTGCTTGGATGCAGAGACTGCCTCTAAAAGATTCTCACTCTTCCAGTACTTAGAATCACAGAATCATAGAATCATCAAGGTTGGAGGAGACCTTTTAACATCATCAAGTCCAACCATTAACCTGCCACTCTCCTGTAACTCCTAAACCCTAAAGCACATCTTCCAGCACCAGATGCAGACACCTCTTACACACCTCCAGGGATGGTGAGTCCACCACCTCCCTGGGCAATCTATTCCAATGCCTGACCACCCTAACTGATTTTTTTTTCCTATTATCTAATCTGAATCAAATGTCTCAGGTTATGGCCATTCCCTCTAGTCTTCTCCCTGCAGGCATGACAGGAGAGACCATCCCCCACCTCTCTACAACCCCATTTCAGGTAGTTGTAGAGAGCAATAAGGTCACCCTGAGCTGTCTCTTCTCAAGGCTAAACAAACCCAACTCCCTCAGCTGTTCTCATACATGTGTTCTAGGCCTTTTATGAGTCTCATTGCCCTTCACTGGACTCACTTAAATTGAGGGGCCCAAGACTGAACACAGGACTTAAGGTGTGGCCTCACCAATGCAAGTACAGGGGGATGATCACTTCCCTAGTCCTGCTGGCCACACTGTTCTTGATACAGGCCAAGATGCCATTGGCCTTCTTGGCCACCTGTGCACACTGCTGGCTTATATTGAGCTGCTGTCCACCAGCACTCCCAAGTCCCTTTTGGACCAACAACTCTTGAGCCACTCTTACCCCAGTCTGTAGCACTGCGTGGGATTGGTGTGTCCCAAGTGCAGGACCTGGCAGTTTGCCTTATTGAACCTCATGCAGTTGTCCTCAGCCCACTGATCAAGTCAGTTCAGGTCTCTCTGGAGAGCTTTCTTACCCTCAGACAGAGACACTCCCAATCAACTTAATGTCATCTGCAAACTGGGAGTGCACTCAATCCCATGTCCAAATCACCAAAAAAGCCTCAGTAGAGATGTTAAACAGGACCAGCCCCAATACTGAGCCCTGGGGAACACCATTAGTGTCTGGCTGCCAATGGAATGTAGCTCCATTAACCTGTTGACCTTCCTCCTGATTTTTACCCCTATGATCTCAACTTCATTATCTTTGCCATTGTTAATTTGAGTACAGTCAAAGCACTCCCTAACATACATTGCTACCCTACCACCTCTTTTGCTGGGCCTGTCTCTTCTCTTCTAAAGAGCTTATAGCCATCTATTACAGCATTCCAGTCATGAGAGTCATCTCACCATGTTTCCATGTTAGCAACT